ACACACACACATACATACACACACACACACACACACACACACACACAAATATATATCACGATTCATCGTTTGACGATCAATCTATCTAGCTATCTATCTAATTAAATTTTTAAATAAATGAAATTGCATGTTATATTTTAATAAATGTGTATGTATGTATGTATAATATTTCAATGTAAATGTATATGTATATATATATATGTTATATTGAGAGATTCACAACACATCCACAATAGCATTTCTTTATGTAATAGATTGCATATGGTAGTATTCCATTGTGAGGGAGCAGTGAAGGTAAACTTTGGAAACAAATGAAGTAATAAGCTGGAGCAGACAGACGCCAGTCATTACCTTGCAAACAGCAGTGAACAGTCTACTTGCTGATGGAGGGCTTCCACTATAACGCTGATCGGACGAGCCAGTTTGCTCCAATAAAATCACCTCCATAATTTACAAACTATATTTACTTAATGCATACCTACTAGGATCCTTTTGTCAGGGACAAACCAGAAAGAATCAGCCACAAAAAAGAACCGGTTTGTGGGAAGAAGAAAATAAAAATAAACGGGAGAGAGAGAGGAGAGAGAGAGAGAAAAAAAGCTGTGCCCTGGGGCTGTGTGTGTGCAGAGCCACAGGATCCAGCAGACTAGCAGAGATGCATGCAGGATCTGCCGTTTCATTGTCTTAGGATCACTGATACAATCTAGAGGAAGGCTATATTGCTTAAAGCTCTGAGTGAATGACATATGGAGGACTGGTGTGAAGAAAACTCCCCAGTGCCTCCTCCAAACTAAAGTCTTCCTGTGAGAGAGAGAAGCGAGCAACTTTCTGCGCTTTCAAACTGCATGCTCCCTCCCTCTCTGTCTCTCTCAACTGGCTCTCTCTCTTTCACTCTTTTTTTCACTTCCTCAGACACTAGCTAGTCACTGCCTGCAGCAGTAATCGGACAACTCTCGTTCTTGCTCGGAGTCTGTCTCTTGAGATCTAGTACGGGGCTCCATGACTTTTCACCCTTAAAATGAAAAAGAAAAAAGTTGTCTTTTATAGCTAATCTGCACGTTTAAAGTCAACTCTGAGAGAAGTTTCTTTTAAAAAAAAACTTCTTTATTTGCTCTGGAACGGACAGACACTCAACGGAAGATTGCAAAACAGGGAGGAATAAAAGAAAAAGTGCAAGGATTCTACCATAATTGTAGTGAGTACTATTTTGATTAGTATTTTCTTCTAATTTTATTATTTTACACGTCCCGTGTTGAACTTTTTACGTAATTTTTAGAGTTACATGGGTATCTGGAGCTGTGATGACATAATCAAGATCTAGATTAAATTGAAATATTTGTAAAAAAGCCTTCGGATATAATATTTTTATGTTCGTCAATCAGGAGTTGTTTGAATGACAAAATTGCAGTCCTTCAAAACCGGCAACATTATCAAGTCATCTCTCAACAAATTGTATATATATATATATATATATATATATTATTTTTAATCTACACTTAATGTACTTGTTAAATCCTCAATAGTGACGGTTTACTTTATTACATTTAATAAAAGACTGTAAAATATAAAAATAAAACTACTTATGTCAGTAACACCATTTTCAATAGGTACAAAAATGTATGTTGCTGTAGTATATATTGTCAGATTATTTTTAAAACATAGATATCAAAGTTCATAAAAGCTAATTGCTGTTTATACATATAAAGCATTTAATCGTTTTTTTAAAAAACGATATGTTGTATAGTATTTTGAGTTCACGTTCCTACAAATTTGCAATTTCAGTTTTATTTAAACATTTCAGTGAATACACACTGTTTATTTTAACATAAAATTCCTTATAAAATACAGCTTAAACAGTTTTAAGACTTTAAGATGCATCATGTCACTTTCACTGTTTGCCGCTCAAATTTAAATCCCCCAGTGACTCTCTCTCACACCTGAGAGCTCACGCACCTGATTCACACCTTCAGCCGTTTCAAATTCACCTTTTTACATCTCCTCAGCCCTCAGGTGGGGACTACATTTTTGATACTTTAAAACAGGTGTACAAGGCAATGAAATAAGAGATTGCATTGTAAATAATGACCCCATTTTGAGTCCTAGATAATAAGTTTCTATTTTTCATCCAACAAGTAAAACCCAAGATTCTATTCAGCTGGCAGAATAAACAAAACCAATTCAGTTTTAGCAGTTGACATCCAATGCCATCTGCTGCAGGCAGGAATGCTTTAGGGTAGACAGACAGGCAGATTGGTGTCTTGTAAGACATCGGCAGGCGGCCACCAAATCCAAGACGCCCGCACATTTTTGAAAGAGTTGTTTTCTATGTGAGGATGAGGAAGTTCCTTAGTATTTATATAGTATTTAGAATTTAGTATTTTGTGTAAAATTCTGCAGGACTTGCAAATAATTCTCAAAATGGATAATGTTCTTCTCACTTTAGTCTTGTCATTTGAAGTTTTTGTACATTAATTTAGTAAAGAAGCACTGGAAATTGTTTTTTAAATCTGCTTTTACTTTATAATAATTGAAAAGCCATCCCACGGCAGCTGTTTCCCAGCTCGCGTTGTTTTTTTCCAGAGTGTGTTAATATGGTGTTGCCTCCAGCCGCCCTCTCTGTGTTCCTTTCGCACAATAACCCGCTTATCTAATTACCTCATAATGGGCTGCTTGATTTGGACTGTTTACACACTGTATTTGTTTTAATAAGGCATAAGTTCAACTGCAATAACCTCTTTCCGAAAAGCCCTCATGCGTTCAGCCCCACGACGTGCCGTTGTTTGCCGAAGGCCCAATGCGTTCCGTATGTGTGCGGCCGAGCTGGAAACGGTGCGCGGTGAAAGACACAGGGTTAATTGAAACTGCTGCGCTCCACTGTTTATGAGATAGAGACAGCGGAAACGGTTTGTGGCGATTAGTTGTTTACTAAATACAGTAGAGTGTTAGTTTGTTAACATGCCACTGTTAGTCTCAGGAAAATGTCGCTCAGGGAAAAGGAAATAAGGGCTGAGAAGCTCAATTGATTACGGCTCTTCTACATTCACAATTCCTTTGTGTTTGTTTACATGTAATCAAGGAGTTTGTTTACTTAAGCAGAGGAGCAGAGGATGAGCTAAACCTGAGTATCTTTTTCTTTTTTGCTTTTAGGATGTCTGTGTAGATGCAGGTTTTAGTGTTGTGAATGAAAGAAAACAGGGGAAAGAATAAATTAAATGTAAATGTCTAACAATAAAATCTGTTTTATTTGTTTATTTTTTAATTTAAGTTAATTGCAAAGGAGTGTTTCAGTCAAATTAAAAGCTGAGAAAAAAGTATGCATTAAAATGGAATGCTTTTTCAGTAACAATTTACGTGTTCGCACTGTGCGATCGCCCTTTTTTTTCTGTGACACTGCGGTGGGGAGAATTTGATCAGATGTGTACCTTAAATCTTCTGTGGTGGACACTCAAAGCGGATGGACTTCTGGAAATAATTTAGCGAATTAACAGATTGAATGTAGCTGCACTGTCCATCGCTTGAGCCCCATGTCAGATTGAACAAAATGGAAGAGACAAATCAGAAAACTGCAGCACGTGTTTGGAATGAAGATTTTAATTACACAAAATTGTAAAAGTTTAAATTGTCTGTTTAAATGAAAAATTAAAAAGCAAATGGATTTTTATGGATATGTGTCCAAGTGTGCGTTTCCACAAAAATGTGTCCTTTGATTTGATAAATGATATATATTTTTATAGGACTCATTTATTAGTATATATTGATTATCTTAAGTGGATAGTTTTCATGTCATTTTTAATAACATAATATTAGTATTTTAGTACATTCACAATTTCAAATCCATAATTTAGTTACAAGGGGAAAAAAACTTTAAAGCATATACCTGCAACAAAATCAAATCTGATATTACAGGCACGCATTTCTCATTCTGTTCTTTTTTTATGCGTAAGGTAATCAGTGTTTTGTTGGCGGTGCACATTTCTTTGCTTTATGCTCACAGAGTCCAGTGAAGTGTAGCATTTTGTAAACTGTGTCTAATTCTAGTCACATCTGTGTTCAATTGTTGTCTACATCGACATTCTTTGCAAGTGGATTTATTTTTCCTGGGCCACCATGTGGATTCAGCTGACCAGCTTAAGTTGGGATTAGTTGTTTTAAAGTTATTTTGATTAAAGCGTTGTTTTTCAAAACTAGTAACTTACAACACATGTTTTGCATAGTCTATGAAATTCAAAAAGAGACATGCATGTCTTGCCCTATAAAATTACAATCTTATAAACCATGGCTGGAAAGCAGGCAGTGGAAAGCGAATAGACACTAATATTTCATTATAATTTTTTTTTTTAATTTGAAAAATTTTATTTGAATTTAAATATAATTGACAAAAAATCCCACAGTATAATAAATACCACCAAATATTTCAGCCGTGCTTGTTATTACATCACAAATGAAGTATTCAAGTGAATCTCATCCGTGTCGGAGCGGCTCAGACAGCCCGCGTTCTCTACAATGATCAATGTTAAAAGCCCGGCGGTGTTTGCCGATAGAAACGCAGCGCTTGAAATAAGCAAAGCGAGACAAAAAGCCATGCAAACAGTCGTGAGTGAAGCGTGTTTGATGGCACTTCCAACGCAGCTCTTTGTTCCTGAGAGCTTCAAAGACAGCTCAGTTCAGGTTGAATTCAAGCGCACATCAAAGATGCTGAATGCACTCCTTTTTTGTTTAAACAATACATATTTAGCAGTACAGCACAAGGGCTTGTTTTTGCTTTTAAAAGCACCCTGGCCCCTCCCTTTGCCGTTCACCTGGTGAAAAATCACCTGCTGGATGAGGGGCTTTGCCGTGAGACCGGAATGCATAATGCCTCGTAAGCTCAGGGCGCTGATTGCAGGCCGTAGCAAGTTCTTTATATCCCTTCCTTCTTTATCTCCCTTGTCTTGCAATGAAACAGCTTGTGCTGGACTTTTTATAGAAAGCCAAAGTACTGTTCCCAAGCTTAGGATGATGTAAAGAATGACTTTAGAGCACAAAACTGTGTTAATATGACTAGATGGGGTCAAGCGAAGGAGAAATTTGGAAAAAACTTGACCATTATTCATCACAGCATGGCCATTGTGGGAAGAGGGGGGCAAAAAACACCAAAACCAAACAGCTCGGGTTACTACATCATGAAAACAGCCCAGCATTAAAAATTCATGCAGGGATTTTTCAGACATTTTGGTGGAAAAGCAGAATAACCATGACCTAGATCCAACAATTCGGCTTCGATCTGATATTGGGTAATAGCGCCGCAGGTATCAGTGCAGAAGTGGACGGCAGGACGTAATTGTCAGCTAAAAAGAGTAATAGCGGCATTTGAAGTATCATAGAAAACATATGTGGCCCCATAGGTTCCACTCCAACAAGATGCACTCAATTATGTTCAACTCCGACTTCTTATACAAGATACACCCAATACGTTTCACTCTAACTTATTGTAGAAGATGCACTCAGTAGTATCTATCTGTCCCCCAAACCCTCAGGCGAAGTCCCAGTCATCCCCCTGACCATCATTAGGAACTGTCAGTGCGCCTGGAGAGGGAGTGTAGATAAATTTCAGATAGTGTCAATTGCAGATGAAAGATGCTAGGGGTGTCATGCTTGACTAGCTTCTGTTCAACAAATTCCCATCTCTCTCAGCCTTCAAAGTCCCATCTCTCTCACCCTACACTTCCAGAGGCAACAGTGGCAGCGACCTCGAGCAGGCGCCCCTGGCTGGCTCGCCCAAAACTACCCCTACCCCCCCTCCTGGTCACCCACCCCTCTCTTTCCTGCTTACCTTGGCTAAGCCGCTTTGCATGTTGATTGGGGGAGGACTAATCCAGTTTGCAGCTGTCGTAGACCAATGATGAATCACCTTTCCGTCATTCGTCCGGGAGGAGGGAAGACCTGGAAGGAGGAAACAACGGTGGAGGGGTTGAGCCTACAGACAATGTGCCTCTCTGTTCCACCGACTCCTCTCTTGCCATTCTGTGCGAGAATAACAAAATTGTTTTCTCAGACAACGTCTATTGTGTCACGGATGGCTCTTCACAGAGACATCGAGCTGAAATAACAAGGAGTGATATAGTTTTTAGGGTCCTGGCAGGTAAAAAAGAGGATAGGGAGAAAGAAAGAAATAGAGGGAAAAACACTTTGACATAAATGGTTGAGGTCCGTCCAGTTTCAGGTAAGAGGGAGCTGATTTGCTGCCAGCATCATCACTGAAAAGCAGCCACTTGTTTAGCAAAGTTCAACGGCTTGAGACACTTCACAAGAAGGTGTCTGGAATTTTTTGTAAACTGCTGGACATGTGAAAGAATCAAGACAGAAAGAGTTAGAGGTGTTAGAGAAGGAAAACATTTGACATATAAGCTTTGTGTCGGAAACAGACATTGTTTGAAAAGCAAGTCGAGTTTTAACATCTCTATGGCATGGATTATTTTTCCCCCGTTTTAACTGCGACCATCTGTAACGGATATTTTATAGCCGATCAAGAACGACGGCTAAAAAGAGGTATGATAATCTATGCTGATAATGCGTTTCTTATTTCCTCCTCTTTGTTATTCATAAAAATCCAAATGTTTGTTGATAGCAGTGACATGACCATTCCTAATTGATTCTGGCAGTGCGGCACACAAGGCATCGCGTTTTTGGTGCAATTAGCACAATAATGCTTTTCTGGAGACTGATGTGTGTTTTCGTTTTGCGGCCGCATTCACATCACACACAAACACCCGTAACATACATCCAACCGCAGACGCACACTGGCCTGACCTTCCATTTGCTATGCATAATAAAATCCCACGAGTGTGCGATGGAGCCAGTAGAATAATGTTTTCAATGGCGTGGCCTTCGGTACATAAACAAAGAAACAATTAAGACGCTCGCCAGTGCAAACAGCATGCTTTAGTGAACTCTTCAGTCGCTTTTGTTGAGGTTTGAGACCTAACAATCACACATCTCTCTCTCTCCCTGGCTATTGCCGTCTCAGATCAGAGACCGCTGAGGGAAATGAACGTATGAAAATTGCAGCGGGCCAGTGGTGGTTAATTTTTAATGCTTAAAATGAGAAAGTCAATCAATCATCAGATGTCTCATTAATTGTTAAATTTGTGTCAAATGTCATTTGATGTGCCTCAAGGGAATGCCCTTGTTAAGTGGATTTCTCTGGAGAGCTTCTGGAATGTTTTTGTTTTAATGTAGTTTGCTTTCGAGAAAGCCGCATTTTTAAATTAATTATTTAAATAATGATAATTAATGTTGTTTTTTAAATAATAATATAAAATTATTATTGTTATGGTCCCCTTTTTGCTGTTATTCTGAAATTTTATGTTGTTTGTAAAGGTAATACATTTACATTTACATTTAGTCATTTAGCAGACGCTTTTATCCAAAGCGACTTACAAATGAGGACAATAATAATAGATAGGTATTGTTTTACATGCATCTAAAATTCTATTTTAGCTACATAAAATTGTCAGTATTGTGTTTTTAAATATACATGGATTGTATTGTACAATAATTATTTTTAGTCAATGTTATGTAATTGTTAATTGTGTATTTTGAACGATCACTCATATTTCAGATCCTGATGTAGGCCTACGTGCTAGTTTGAGTGTGTGTGCATGTGTCATTCAGCATCATGTGACCGTCTGTGTGTCTCTTCCTCTCAGGTCTATGGAAATGCAGGATCTAGCTAGTCCACACAGCCGAGTAAGTGGAAGCAGTGAGTCCCCAAACGGTCCCAACATCGACAACTCACATATAAATAACAATTCCATGACACCAAATGGAACTGAAGGTACGTCTCCACAGCCTCCGGCGGGCCGTATACCTTCATTACTCTGGATTTATTAGCGCTACAGTACACGGTTTTTAACCTGCCCATTCCCTTTGTGTAACATTTATGCACTGTTAAGTTGTGAAAAGTTGAATCCGTGTTAAACATCTGCAGATTTTTGCTCTGTTGGATATGTGATATGCTTGTCATGTCAGGGGGATTCATATACTTAAATTTTTAATAAAATTAAATGTAAATATACATGAATTTGAAATATCTGTTTCCCTGACCTCTACAATATCTAATTTCTATATTTCTAAATAAACTATTGCAAATGCATCAGTGCACTTTAGTGCTACATTTTAAAATGACTCAATGCATGCACTATATAAACTGTAGAACTTTCAGTGTTTTCACGGATCATGTTACAGCCCATAAGAATTTTATTCAGCTCTGAAGTAGTTTACATAATGTAATCTTGACTGTGGTTTTCTCCCATTTCTGTAGTGATAAGCCCCAACCTGTGACAGTGCAGATTGTCATGTGTCCTGTCCCATTCTTTCTCCCTATAGGTGATAACATCACTATGCTTACCACAGCTGACTGGTTGTTAAGTTCTAGTTCACAGTCTGCTGCAGGTTTGTGCAGTTCTGGCGGAACAATGAAAGGACAATACTTGGCGTCATATGTGAAATTACACACGTTATATAGTCATTTCAGCCTGAGGCAATCATAACAATTTCATTTGATTGCATTCACAAATGTGAAAAGCCAATTTAATGCGCTCACATCTCTTCAACTATTGTGCCTTTCATTTGGACTCTTGTTTGGCATTCTGTGTTGTGTTATGGTGAATCTGTTGAAAGCATGGTTTGAGACTTTTTGGCTGTGATTCCAGACCGTCAATGAATGGTTAAAAAGCTGCGGGCACGCGTAATGTGCATTTAGCTTTTTATTTGATGTTCTGCAGGACGGTTTTATGGTTATGTGTGGTATGTGATAAGACTTGACTGCACTAGTTTCTGCATGTGCCGTGCCACTATTTTCCCATATCCCTTCGAGAAGGAGGGGTGGGGGGAGCGTTGGGACATATTCAAACCGCTCCCCATCGACATGTGTTCCTTTGAGGGAGAGCATAGCTGCAACATGTTCGACATGACAAGCTGATGGCTACCTCAGCCATGAGGGATTTCAGTGGGCATGACTCCGTACCCACATTGTGAATTTTGTTTTCATAAATGTAAACCTCCACCCCACCCCCTCCTGAGACAGAGATGGATTCATTTCAAAGATCCGGGCCTGTCTAAATGCTGTGAAATCGTCTCCCGGTTGCCCTCATTGTAGTTCCGAGTGGTTGGGTCAAACGCATTTTATACACCATGCATTGCCTTGACATATCAATTATGCTGCACGTCCATGCATTCCACAGTTTACTCCTGCCATTAAATTCCACCTTTTTTGCCTGTTTTCCCTTGATGCTACATAAAACCCTTCCGGTAAGAAAACAAGTGACTAATAATATTTAGAATACATCGTTTGGCATTAAATAAAAGTTCAGTGTTTTCAATGTTAAAATAAATTAATAAATACATAAATAAGAGTATGTTATATAGCATTCAGAGTTTGGAGTTGGTAAGACTTTTAATGTTTTTGAAAGAAGTCTCCTATGCTCACCAAGGATGTATTTATTTCATCAAAAATACAGTAAAAATAATACAGTAATATTTTGTAATATTATTACAATTTAAACTGACTGTTTTTTTTTTAAATATATTTTCTATATTATTTATATATTTCTTAATTAATTCCTGTGATGGCAAAGCCGGACTTTAAGCAGCCATTTCTTCCAAATTCAGCCATCTTTCAGAAATCATTCCGATATGCCGATTCGATGCGCAAGAATATTTTCTTATTAATATCAATGTTGAAAGCAGTTGTGCTGCACAATAGTTTTGTGATACGTTTAGAGCAGAATCTTTTGTAATTAATTTCTTTCAAAAAAAAAAAAATGGACTGACTCCAAACTATATATAGTCCAATATATATATATATATATATATATATATATATATATATATATATATATATATATATATACATTTAAATAAATAAATATATTTATTTATTTATTATACTATATATTTAATTATCTACTCTCTACTCTTTGATTTTTACATGTCATTCTGTCAGAAGTAGATTGGTTTATGCATTTAAATAATAATGTTTAGTATGGCTATTGCCCTTAAATCAACACAAGAGCTGTGTGTATTGGAAGGGAAGTGTCCTTGTTTTATTTGTAGAAGAGATTAGCTTTAATTGTAGGCCTCTCTTGTGAGCTAGCCAGGATAGAGCTATCGAAACCTGAAAGCTCTATTATCTCAATAGAAGCCCACTTCATTACGCCACCCTTACAATACCCAACCACCTAATGATCCTTTCCACATTGTGAGGCAATAAAACCATCTGGATGAGCACTTTGACGTTACAAAAGTTTGCTTTTTGGCTAGGCTTTAAATTCACGCATTACTTTAAGATTAAGTTTGTTGATTTTACAAGCAGAAAGGCATTTGCCTGTAGTGTGACTGGCAACCGGCTTTACCAGTGCAGCGTCACAAATGCTCTGCTTTCCTTCTGCTTGCAGTTAAAACAGAGCCAATGAGCAGCAGTGAAATCGCCACCTCTGTAGCAGACGGCTCTCTAGACAGCTTCTCAGGATCAGGTACGACACGCACACGCACACACTCAAAGCTGTAGAGCTGACTGGTCGGAGATGATCCCACAGATGGGTTACTGATAAGCAGAGGCCCAGGAAGTGGCTCTGTGACTGGAGCTCTAGTAGCGTGAGGCTCTGTCTCAGTTCCCAGGCCAACAGGCATTGAGTTATGACCCTCCCAGCCCCCTTCTCGGCCCTAATCGAGTGACACCCCATCCTGGTGGCCCGCACATCCTATGGGTTTTAGATGCATGACTCGTAAATTATGAAATGCCGTTCAAAACCACAACAATTTATAAAGTTTGATAAGACGGGAGACATAAAGTGATATTAAATGCCAATTTGTACTCCATTACTAAGATATTTTGGAGTCACAAAACCAGCTCGCTTGCTTTGTGTCAAAAACGTTATACTCTCAATGGTCTATTTTCAAACTTAAGCATACAAATTTAGGTAGGTCTATTCCATGTTATAGACTCCTCACATTACTTACTAAGCAAATGCGAGAACTCTTCATGGAGTATTACATTCCTGCTAATTTATCTTATTTCCCTACCTATTTGACTAAGTACCTGATACCTTTATGTTAGACTCATATAAATCATGGCTTGGACTTCTATCTCTGACAATATGAATGAATTGAAGTCATTTGAGACCGTTTTATACTCAGGGGATGCAGTAGTGTAGAGGTTCAGTGTTTGTCCAGACCAGGTGCTGAAGTGTGGGGAAAAGGCCCCGGTTTCAGGGCGCAAAGAATACAGTTACATGGAGCAAGAGCTCCTTAACTAACCCTTACTTTAGATGTCACAGCCAATTATACACGCGAGGCAAGAGAATCGCAATATCTGTAATACATGCACCCTAAAGAAAAGACATCCAAACCCTACAAATGGAAATTCACAAAGGACCAAGCTTATATTTAGTAGTCTAAAAACAGCAATAGTAAGTTAGTAAGCCTAGTAATAGTATTAGTAATAGTTATTATTTTTTTAAACGAAGATGTAATACATAGGTTAAAAAAAGTCTATTCTATTCTATTCTATTCTATTCTATTTGTATTGAACAGTATTGTTAGTGTTTTAGTATAGCATTTTTAAAAATAAAAATTCCAACATATAATATTACACATTATTAATAGTAGTAATAAAAAAATAATAATAGTAATAATAATAAATATATAATAAAGAAAAAATATACAATATATAAAATAATTGTATAATAATTTTAATTGCAAACAATATAACAAAAAATTGTAGTGCCATTATAACCTTTTATAATGGCACTACAATTTGAGTGCAATTTTCAAGACTTAAGCCATGCATTCACTGGCACATCAAAAGATCTCATGTTGCTCTGTAGTATTTGTGTGAGTTAACTGAACGGCCCTCCACACTGTCATTAAGGGCTGAGAACCACAGGGCCGGTATGTGTCTAATGAAGGCTCCTTATGTGTACTACTTACCTGTAATCAGGCCCACTGATTTGTCATTGTACGGTCTACTTTAAACCCTCCAGTGTGTGCGGCCGTACATCATTCCCAGCTCTGTGTGTGTGTGTGTTTGTGGACACTAGGCCTTTCCATCCTGTGTAGGTTTTTATGTATACAGTCAGCAGAAAATGCTCCCATATTACCTGATTATTTTCCTTCGTTATTGCTCTTAATTTTTCAACCTAAAATAAGGTTAGTGAAATAAATAGTGTAATGCAATGTAATTACTGTTACCTTGGATTCCAGAAGTTCTGTTGGCAAAGAATAATATTTACCTTATTTTTTTATGTTTGAATATGTGCTTGCCTCTTTTCTTTTTAACTCACCACAGGCATTGGAACCAGTGGCTTCAGCCCAAGACAAACTCACCAGTTCTCTCCCCAGATTTACCCTTCCAAGTAAGGCTTCTTTTATTTTTCTTTAAAAAAATAAGCTGCATCCAACTTCATTTGGGCCTTTAATTAGATCCTTCTGCCAGATTCTGGACTCTCCGGCTGCTTTGTTTTCATTGATGTCTGCAGCTTGCGTACTCCAAAATCTGTTGTAATTATTATCTTGCAAAAATGTTCCTCGTGATTTATTTTTCTTTCGCAATGTATATCAGCTGCTTAATGGCTAGATTTTTCTCTGTTTCACAGCTTGGCCAAATATTTATGATTAAGTAGCAGAATCACAGAGAATTAGTCTTTGAGAAAAAATTTTTCGATATGGGCTTTTGGGTAAAAATACATGTCTCCCTTTTCTCTTACTTTGCTCTCAAATAGCAGACCCTATCCACACATTCTTCCGACTCCTTCCGCCCAAAATATGGCCGCGTACGGACAGACGCAATACACCACAGGAATGCAGCAGTCTGCTGCCTATGGCACATACCCTCAGCCAGGCCAGCCCTATGGGATTCCAGCCTATGGTAACTGACTCAGTTCGTCCTTTTCTATGCTTTAAAGCTTTGCAATTCAGATTGTGCTTTGCTTTTCACTCAAGCAGATGAACTCCCATACTTATGAAACATTTACTATATTGTCTGCCATAGTATTAAACTAAATGTATTTGTATTATTTAAAAAAAGGACTCTTCATTTAAAAAATAAGTTTTTTAACATTTAGAATGTTTTAGAATTTTTTTAACGTTTTAGAATGGTTGGGTTAAATGTTATAGAATTTTTTTGGTCATTTTTCAAATGTATTTATTTATTTATTTACTAACAGTGATGGAAATGTAGACAGCTTTATAAACATTTGAATTATTATTATTATTATTTAGGAATAATATTAAAAACATTTTTGGCAAATAATCATTTTATAAGATTCGTCTTGCTCACCTGCATTTCATAAAATATTTCTACTGGGCAAACATTACTTAAGTAATATTCATGAGCGGGTTTTGTGAGGTGTTTCTCACTTTTTGGATATTTCCTTATTTTTTGACAATTGTGGCCAGTATTTAATGTTTTTTGGTCCTTCTAATGCATTTAATTCAATTACAAGTCATCAAATGAGATGCCGTTTAATTTTAGCATTTAGCATTTGTAGCATTTTAGGTGCGTTCCATTCGACAGTAAGTGGACTGCGAAGTGGACTTCACAGGGTATTCCGCCATCTTAAGTGAGATTCCAACCCAAAGGGAGTGAACATGTTCAGTTCGAAGGGTACTGCAAATGGCACAAGTATAATAAACATATAAATTTAGACTTTATTTATTAGATACAAAATTGTATATGTATTTTATATGTATTTAAATTTGAAAGTAAAATAAATTACAATATTTATGTTATATCATAATCTGCGTGATCTTGTCATTGCCTTTCTTTGATGACGTTCCAGGGCATTCCAAATGAACGATTATTGTCAGCGAAGTCCACTTCGACGGATATCCCGTGCATAGGGAGTAGGGAGCAGTGAACACTGCATAGGGACCCTGTCAATCGGAACACACCTTTTGTCTCATACTTAGCATGTAGCTTTAAGATAAATTCTAAATCTTAGCTAACAACGTGCTGATCACTAAGATTAGGCTAATGCTTAACTCAGCCCTTAGTCACTCCTTTTCCCGCCTTCAATCGAAACTTAGGACTCTGCTGACCTTTTGTTTTGCATTTGCAGACTCAGTGTCTCTTTTAGACAGTTACTAATTTTTGCTTGTTCGACAGATAAGAGAGATATAAAGATTTCAAGCCCTCGTCTACACACTGTGAGAGCCCAATTCAAGCTAGAAATGTTTTTCCAGGGGTTTGAACGTTATGAAACCTTTGTGAAAATATGCGCACAAATAATGTTGTTTAGGTAGAACGATCTTGAAATACGCTCCCAAGAGTTCACGTGTTTGTTTGAGTGGAAGCAAAATGCAAACCTGCATTGGGCCTGATTCAATCTAATCAAAAAACAGGTTTGTTTTAACTCCAACCAGCAAATTCTTGGAAGTCCATTCTGAGTTTGGCACAAACACTTCAATGCAAAGGTTGCTTGGACCATGGCCCAGTGCGAAACAAGCCACCGTTATCTTTTATTCTCGATTGACGTGGAAGGAGTAACACTGAGAATTGTGCATCATGCTGCTCTGGTGTCACTAACTGATTTAGGTCCATTGTGGGCAGGCATCAAGACAGAGGGCGGACTGACCCAGGCTCAGTCTCCAGGCCAGAGCGGCTTCCTCAGCTACAGTTCCAGCTTCTCCACGCCTCAGACGGGACAAGCACCCTACAGTTACCAGATGCAAGGTCAGGAACACCCTCTACTCTTTTCCTCTTCTGCTCTTCCCGGTGGAGTGACAAAATAGAGCCGTGATTCCTCTCTGGCCCCCTTCAAAGGAGGACACAATTAATGGCAGACACGGACCAATTCATAACACCCCCGAGCAGATGGTTGTATTGGGTTGTAGTTAGACACAGTCTTTTTTGCATTAGGCCTGAAGAGAACCAACACAGATGGAAAAAAATCCCTTTTTCCTCTTTAAGACCAGTCTTTTTCTCCTTTGTGTTCGGTCATGTACTTTCTTAAGTTTGTTTGCTTTAGAAGGAACTCCCGTGACTCTCATCTTTGAGGTCAGTTCATGGAAGTCACACTTGCGTACTGGGAATCAAACGTGCATCAGGCAAACTCTCTGCCACCCAGTGTTTTTTGTTGTTTGTTTTTTGTTGTTTTTTTTAGACATTGTCCCTACTCCAAAACCAGAAGTCTTTTTCTGCCCTTCTTTTCTCCCCTCTTTCTCCCTCTAGTGTTTTCCTTCGAGCCTCCAACAGTTAGCACCGGTTTGAGCTCTCTAATCTCCAAATAATGTGTGACAGTAGAAACATCTCCACGTTTCTGAACGCTCTCCAGAGCATCTCACAATAAATAATGTGACATATGTGGTCTGTTGAAGCTTCTTTTCCATGCCTCATAAGTAGAAACGTTCTGCTTCTGCAGATGCTGCCTCAACACCAGGGTTGTAAGTGTTACCCTGTCCCAACCGCAGAAGTTTAAAGGCCTGTTCACACCGTTCAAGTCCAATGAAACTAAATGTCATGAAAGTATAGAACCCAAAGAATGCATCCAATGGTGTTTGATACCAAATTTTAATTTAAAAAAAATTACACCTAAAGGACCTTGTTTAGCCTCCAGATGATACAAAATCAACATTGACATCAAGTAAAAGCCAATTAATGTTTATCACAGTAGGATATTTTGGAGAAATGCATTGTTTCATTTTAATATTTTGCTGTGAATTTAGAAATGTTTGTGCCAAAATTTGGCAAGAATGGTCCTTGAAGATATAGTTCACCCAAAACAATTTTAACCATCATGTCACTCCAAACTTGTTGGAAAACAAAAGGAGATCATCTTCACACAGTTATTTTCCAAAAAATGGGACAGTTCATGGTGAGCATCTCTGTCAAACTTTTTTTTACCAAAAATAAATACATACAGGTTTGGAATTACATGATGGCAAGTAAATAATGATAGAATTTCCATTTGTAGCATGAAATATCTATTTAACTGTCCTTTCACAACGACACTGCATTGAGTTTTTTGTAAGTCAGAAACTGAAGTGCCTTCAGTCTTCCTTTCAAAGCCCATGCAGCCATAAACACATTAACCACTAACTGCAAGAGCAGATGACAGATGACCATTAACCAGGCCAGTCTGTCTCTATTGGCTTCCTCTCGGTGCCTCATCGATTAGGCAGGTCTGGACTCAGAGGAAGAGACTCAACACGGTAGCCAAATGTAGACCCCCCATCTATATGACCAACTGCTGTCCCATAACCCTAGTAGAGTGAGCCTGCACCCAGCTGTCAGAGGGAATACAATTAAATTAATGTTTTAACCCTGCTCTTTCATGTCTAATGGAACGGCGCTGGCTTTCTCTGATCATGATCCAGAAATGTAACACAGAAGGACCTTCCTGGCTTGAAATGTCATCACAGATTGTTGGGTTATCATAAATTGAACAAAATAGTTTTGTTATAGTCGGGCTTTTGTTCAGTTATATTGAAATTTCAAAAAATAAATAATATATTGATTTCTAGAGCCACTTTTTGTAATGTCAAATGAGTTATTTGCTGGTCTGCCAAAAACATTTTTTTATATATATAATTTCCTTTTTGGAAGGGGAGATTTCTCAGCAAATATTTATATATTTGATAAATTGTGGTGACTTAATTTGCTTCATTAATAATTATATATAATATACAGTATATAGTTCATTTTATTTTATTTGAACATGAACTTTAATACAGATAAATATTTTCAGTTAATTAAAATACAAATAAAAATGATCTAAGTTAAATATATCTATCTATCTATATCTATCTATCTATCTTAGTGGAAATTTGAATCGCTCTATGCCAATGTCCCAATGAATTGTAAGACTTCTTGATGGCCACTTGATTTCACTCAGTACATCCAAGTATAAATTAGGAATTAATTTTCCACTTTCACACCTGTTTGAGCTTCGCTTCCTTTTCCATAACCATAATGGCTCTAAAGCATGAGTGGAGCCATAGAGCGGCTTCTCTCACTGATTTTCACTCAAAGTATATGATAATTACAGCAACAATTGGGCCTCCCTCCATTCTGCACACCGTGTGAGAGGAGCAGCAGACTACTTTTTAAAGAAGCCCATCTGGACTTGATCGCTTGCTCTCTAGAGAGGCCTACAAAACTTCTGCTACAAATATTGTGCACTGATGATAGACATAGCCCATGGCAAGAGGACTGATCAAGCACAGCAAATGGACTCCCAATTGGAGAGGCCATAAGGAGAGCCAGTGTCTCGTCTTGAGTGAACTAACTGGAGCAAGACAGAGCGGAGAGGGGGAGGAACGGAGGAGTTTTTGCCCCTGGGAAAAACCAGGCCTCTCCCCAGCTTGGAGTCATTCTTTTGGGACCGGAGGGGGTCATGCTTGGCTTTTATGTGGCTCCGGACTCTCTCTGGAGTCAACTGCTTTCCTACGAGTCCTGGCTTTTATGACTTTTTGAACTGTGGATTTAGCTAATTTGTTGTGCATTGGGAGATTCATGTGTCTCACTTTATGTGACGGCTCAAGTCTGGGGAGGAAGTCAACAGCTTTTAGAGCACCTCTTGCTGTTCTTTAAAAACAAGAGATAAAAAACAAGAAAAAGAAACAAACTTGCTTGTGGAGCCAGACATTAGTCCACACTTAAAGCTGTTGTATGTTTGTTACAGTCTGAGGGGCCTCATTTTCCTGAACACCAGAAGATGAAAGACTTTGCTTCTGTTTTTTTGCTGAACAAATGTCCAGTTACCCTTTTATGTAAAGACATTGAGTTAATGTTGTGCCCATTTTGTGTTGAGAGTGTTGTATAATTGATGATTCCAGGGCTACCCACAACTTTTAGCAGCAGGTATTACAGCTGTTCATTAGTTGATTTCCTGGTTATGTTAGCGTAAGAACAATTCTGGGAAAATGTGCTAAAACTGATTTAGAAGAATATTATGCATTCTATACATGTTAAGCTCAATCTGCAGCATTTGTGGCATAATGTTGATTATCACAAAAAGTAGTTTTGACTAGTCCCTCATTTTCCTTAAAAAAGCACAAATCTAGGTCACGCTGAGGCACTTACAATGGAAATGAATGGGGTCAATTTTTTTGAGGATTTCAAAGTTGAAATTTAAAGTTTTTAAGTTTATAAAAGTACTTTTTCTTAAAAGTAAATTTTCTATTGAAACTTGTATATTATTTCAGCTGTGCAGTTGCTTTCATCATTTCTACGGAAGTGTTGTTATAGTTTACTAAAACAGAAACTAACACTAGTTAAAAAGACACTATTAAAACATTTTCTTAAATAAACTGACATACATTTTTTTTTTATTAGAATTTTTGCCTTGGCAACTAGCTGAAATAAATATAGCTTAATATGAAATACTAAAATTACTAAAACTAAAACTTAAATGTAAATAATATATCAATAAATATAAATTCAAAATAAATATAAAGTGAAATAAAATGTGATAAATATTATATAACAAATACAAATAAAAATATAATAAATGATAAAAGCTTTGAATAAATTGATCCAATTGACCTCAATTCTATGTGTCTCACTGTAAAACAGACTTTTGCTTTTTTTTAAAGAAAATCGAAATAAATTTCTGTTGATTGAGCTCAACTTGTACTGCACCCAGAATATTCTTCTACACCAGTTTTTCAGTCCGCGTGAGAATTCCAATTTGATTTGAGCACCGTGACTCCAAGAAGCACCTCAAAACGCAGCTTACCTCCAGGCTGTCTCGCCCCTATAACTCATGTCATGTATGTTATTAAGTCATTATTGAGAGATTTAATTACCCAGAAGGTGCTTCTTTGAGCAGCTTGAAAAGAAGACAGATATACATATTCAATGAGGCAGGATGTCAGGTAAAACTCCCTCCCCCTCATTCCCAACAGTGGCCATGTGTCTGTCATTGTAAAGGTAGCGATGGATGAAATAATAGACCCAACCCCCTTTCCTCTTTCTTTCCGACCATCGGCCAAGATCCAATCACTGATATGGAGAAAGAAAAGATAGAGTCACTGTTATATCCCACCCACCAACACACACACACACACACACAATCCCTCATGCCCCTATAGTACCAGCAAGGCTTTGTCTTAAATGCCTTTGAGGTGTTTTAGGCCTTGCTTGACTCGACCCCCATCTTCAATTTAAAAATGTCATTTATTTTGAAGGTTATATTACACTTATCGTCCTCAGAATTGCATCAGTTGCAAACAAAGCCTCATTTGATTTGATCTTTTGTCTCTTTCTCTCATAGGAGGCAGTTTTACAACAACTTCAGGGCTGTACGCTGGAAGCAATTCCCTCACAAACTCAACTGGATTCAATAGTACACAACAGGTAGCTGTAATCGAATTTCTATCCCTCACTATCTAGTCTGTTGAAATCTAATTTTCTCCATTTGGCACATGCTCCCAGTATTTTTTCCTTCCTCCTGTAAGCCTTTATAAAACATGTGTACGCTCACATATTACTCACATGATATGAATCACTCTAAATGTCTCGACCACTGTACGCAAGGATTACCTCTTGCTCTTTTCGCGTATGAATTATGCCATGAGTGGAGGAAAAAAGAGTGAAGACAGATCGCTGTCCAGATGTAGTGCATAGGAGACATATGTTCATATTTACGTTTTGGAATCTGTGCTGTAAAGTAGCAGCGTTGCGTGCGGCTATCTCACATTACCGCATTGATGTCTTTCTGCAGGACTACCCCTCCTACCCAGCTTTTGGCCAGAGTCAGTATGCGCAGTATTACAACAGTAGCCCTTACACTTCTCCATACATGACCAGTAACAACACGAGCCCCACCACACCCTCCACCACTGCCACCTACACCCTACAGGAACCTCCATCAGGGGTCACCAGCCAGCCCCTCTCAGAGCAACCGGCAGGTAAGAAAGCTCGGTTTGAGTAAAAAAAAAAAAAAAAGTTATGGAGGTCATACAACAAGTTGCTGTAAAGACAAAACGTGATTGGCTAATTTTGCAATACTAAACCCTGGTGGTGCACTCGAAAATGTCCCAATGTGCAATTTTCTGTATTGATTTTTTTTTTACCCAGATTTTGAATTACGTATTGCAGTGTGCTATATTTTAGGATTCAAGGAAATGTCTCTAAAGTTAATGTTAAAGAAAATTACCAGTATATTTTTAGTGATTCAACACAATATATACTGGTACAATATTGGTTATCAGACTAATTAGTGAATTCTTTTTAGAAATATCAGTTGAGTGTGCATAATTTCCAGCATTCTTTACATTTAGATTATCTTGCTGTCATCTAACACTCGCTCAAAGTTAATCTTTAAAAATTATAATAAAAATCTCAGAAATGATATAAATTGTTTGAAATATTTATATTTTATAGAAGTATTCTAAAGTATATAAATGTAATTTTTAAATTATTCATTTATTAAAAATCAATTGAAAAGAAAATGTCTAAATAATTTGTATTTATTATTTACTTTGTATATTTATAACAATTAGTGTTTTTAATAAATATAAATGTGTACAATTATCTATACAATTTATAAGATTTTTATTAGCATTTTCAAAGACTAACCTGAGTGTGTAATGTATGCGTATGCATTATAGTGATGCTTAGCATGTAAAGTAATTTTTTGTTTTATTTTTTAACTTAAAAAAATAGTTTAGAATGTTAATATCAAATATGAATATTAATCTAATATTAATAGATTATGATTGTTTATATCCATGTATTATTGTTCTTAATTTGTGCCATTTATCGATTATCGGCCATAATGTGAAAATAATTATCATCTTATCTGCATCAGCTAGATATTGCTTAGTTCTATAAACAAGAAGTTGATATCCTCATACTGTATTTGATACTATCCACCTTTTTTCCAGAGTAAACGATGAGTGCCGCCATGATGGATTCTAACTTCTGTTTGGGTGCTCTCGTGTTCCAGTCTCCATAGAAATTAATTCAACTTAAAATGTGTTAAAATAATATGTGCTCTTATCATTTTGTGTTCAGGAAAATGGTTGATATTGCCAGTTGTTTAGTCTATTTTTGCTCCTCCAATGACCCAAATTTTCTTACCTTTGCCTTGTCATGTAATTAGGGAAGGATGGTATGGTGCATAACACCCTCACTGCCATTACTAAGGCTTAAATGGTATCTAGGGTATAAGGAGATCAGATAAACAGCGTGATATTAGAGCATGTGGGCAGCAGCTACAGTACTGAACACTAGATGAGGTAAACGGATCCAGCCACAATGTGAAGGTGAAAGTCTTTTTTATTTTCCTCTTTTGATATACTTTTTGCCTTTCTTTTTTCTCCTGCAGGAGAGTACAGTACAATCCAGAGTCCATCAACCCCCATTAAAGATTCAGATTCAGATCGATTGCGTCGGGCTTCAGATGGAAAGTCACGTGGCCGGGGAAGGAGGAACAATAACCCATCCCCACCTCCCGACTCTGACCTTGAGGTATTGGAACGCTGCCGCTCTGTCAATGTATCTAGCTGGAATCGCAGCAATGCATTAATTACTATTAAGATACTTTTGATTATCTAGAATTGTCCATTCTATTCGCTGCTTTACCTTAAAAACAATGCATTTACATGTTTAAGAGTGTGTTTCCATGCTCAATTTTAAATGTTAAAACATGTAAATGCCCTAAACAGAGTTTTTTTTGGTGAAAGCTTTGTTTTGCATGTTTTGCACGCTTAGCATGCAAAAGCCTAAATCGGCGCTCTGTCAGTTTATTTTGTGTGCATGTCACATGTTTTGACATGAAAGCTGGGGGACAAAAACAGACTTAAATCTCTTGTAAATAGTTTTCTTGCATTGTTACATTTTGCAAAAAGCAGATTTACTAAAAATTGCCAGTATATTGACTCACTGGGTTCAAAAAATTTTTTTATTTATTTATAAAAAGTATTTATTTATTTATTTACATTTTTACAAAGATAATAAAGAAAATACAATTTCAATTGTGCTACTATTTCTACTTCTACATTTTACATTTAATTCAATGTGTTATATGTGTGAAAATTGTTTCTACACCAAGAAGTATATTTTAGAGCTGTCGAACGATTAATCGCGATTAATCGCATCCAAACATTTTTGTTTACATAGTATATGTGTGTGTACTGAGTATATTGATTATGTATATATAAATACACACACATGCATTAAAATAGTTAGATTAGAATTTTCAGCATCATTACTGAAAATCATTGTAATATGTTGATTTGCAGCTCAAAAAACCTTTTTATTATCATCAATTTTGAAAACAGTTGTGCTGCTTAATATTTTGTGGAAGCCATTATACATGTTATTTTAAGAGTTATTATATTAATAGAAAGTTTGACAGAAACAGATTTATTTGAAATATAAATCATTTGTAATGTCTTATGGTCACTTTTGATGCATTTAATGCATGCTTGCTGAATAAAAGTATAAATTTCTTACTGTCCCCAAACGTTTGGGTAGTGTATATACAATTATTTTATTATGTATATTGATTATGTATATATAAATACACACACATGCATGCATATATTTAAGAAAAAAATGTGTTACTTTTATATATTAAATATATTTATATATAGTATAAATTATATTAATATAAATATATACATGTAAATATGTCATTTTTTTCAAAATATATGCTGTATGTGTGTGTATTTATATATACATGTTAAATATACACAGTACACATACAAATATTATGTAAACAAAAAAAATATTTTGGATGCGATTAATCGCGATTAATCATTTGACAGCATTAGTATATTTAGAAGTATATTATTTCTATCTCAATCATATTTGAGATATACAGGTCATGGTCTTTTCATTAACATGACCTGAATCTCTGGAAGGTTTTGGGCCCCATTAGCAAGCTGACATCATAGCATGTTAACAAATCTAGTTAATTAGTTTGTTGGTATCGATTGTGTTAATGCATCGGGGGCAGGAGATGGATTGTCCAGTGGTGGTTCTTCCCGCAGTTGCGGGGTGCTATGGTGACCATCAGTGCTGAATATCTACTGATCCCAGGGCGCATTAATCTATGCTCCCTTCTTATTGACAATCAGATCATCTTGCATGCTGAGTGAGCCATTGATTTTGCTCTTTCTTTTCTCAGCGCGTGTTCATTTGGGACTTGGATGAAACAATCATCGTTTTCCATTCCTTGCTCACGGGATCTTACGCCAACAGATTCGGAAGGGTAAGTGATGTATTTTAAATGCAAACACAGGCAAATATTGTTGCAAAGTTTAGAAAAATGCACAGAAAGAGGGTCTGTTTGGGTACACCGTCCAGCTTCGAGGAACTCAGAGTTCAGTGTAATTGTTTCTTTTTTTAATAAGATCGTCGAGGCCTCGCAGACATTCAGCTCGGCCTGCAGCTGTCTGAGTTATGTGGCTGGAACAGGCCACCGAGAATGTCCATTGACATTCTTAAGGGTTTTTTGTCCTTCAGAAATGGTTCATTGTTAAGCTTAATTAAATGTTTGCATTAACTGACCTTTGAGTGGGGTTCATGTATTATAGCAAAGTTGATCAAAGTTGAGAAACATTGTCTTTAGTTTTAGAGTTATATATATACTACCGTATAAATAAAGGCAAACAGTTCCTATATATATTATATATATATTTAAAAGGAATCTGCATTTATTTGATCATACACAATATTGTGAAATATTGCTACAATTTAAAATATATTTTTTTATTTTAATACATTTTAAAATAGTTAGATTAGAATTTTCAGCATCATTACTGAAAATCATTGTAATATGTTGATTTGCAGCTCAAAAAACCTTTTTATTATCATCAATTTTGAAAACAGTTGTGCTGCTTAATATTTTGTGGAAGCCATTATACATGTTATTTTAAGAGTTATTATATTAATAGAAAGTTTGACAGAAACAGATTTATTTGAAATATAAATCATTTGTAATGTCTTATGGTCACTTTTGATGCATTTAATGCATTTAATGCATGCTTGCTGAATAAAAGTATACATTTCTTACTGTCCCCAAACGTTTGGGTAGTGTATATACAATTATTTTATTTAAACAAAATGTGTATTAAAATATATGTGTAAATTATATTTTTGTGTGAGAGTGGATAACATTTTTGCTTTTATTTATGAGATAATTTAATTAAGGCATAATGCCAAATTTAGCAGGTTCAAAAGGGTTATGAACATGCAATAAGAACTAGTTTACTTCTGCGGTTGTTGTATTTGTTATTTTATATAAACCGTCATAAGCTATATTTGAACTTTCAAAACAAACAATTTGGGAAATACGTTGATCTGCAATTCTCAGGCTTGGTCAGTGATCTCATGCCTTTATTTAACTCACTCAACCAACCGTTGGTTCAATTCACCAAATTATAATTTCACAAAATAGCCCTAAATCTGAGTTCAACATGCGTGTGTTTTTAAACCCTCTTTGTGTCTGAAGAATGTAGAAAGCTGTTTCCTTGTTTGAAGGAATAAATCACAGACTTGGCATTTTTTGGCTGAGCTTCTTGAAGGGTTTTTTCTTTGTGGTGAGTGTAGATGACAGCAGCGCTCAGATGTCAGTGGAACGGGGCCCGGCGGCTGGTTTGTTCTCTTTGTTCCTCAGTCAGGGTGTTTGATGGGGGTGGTGTTTTGTTTTAAGGGTGAGGGAGCCCTGGCCCTCGACCCTGCACTGTTTATTTACTTTATCTCAGCTGAGCATGCTGGGTAAAGAAGCGAAACTCTGAGAGCGCGTCAGCCGTGTCCAGTCTCTCACACACACACACACACACACACACACACTTAAACTGAGCCGTCGGTGCAGCCACGTCTGATTTTAAGGTCCTAACCAATTTTAAGTGTGTGTGTGTTTCCTTATAGGTTCAAACAGAACCCAATCTGAAGTTTCAGTTGTTACTATGGAAAAGTCACGTTTCACACTTAATTTCTGTCTACTGGGTTTTGATTGGTCAGAGGAACATACAGTACTTAAATAATTTAATGGGAGAATTAGATGGATTAGAAATTAATTTGAGAGATTAATTTCAAGTTTTCTATTATTACTTACACTGAAAGTCTCAACACAAAATGATGGCTATTTCAGTTTCACCTACACTAATGTTCAAAGGTTTGGAGTCAGTAAGATTATATATATATATATATATATATATTTTTTTTTTTTTTTAAAGAAATTACTACTTTTATTCAGCATGTATACATTAAATGGATACAAATTGACAGTAAAGATATTTATAATGTTACAAAATATTAATATTTTAAATAAATGCTGTTCGTTTGAACCTTTTTTATTTACCAAAGAAACCTGGAAAAAAAACTGTTTAATAGGGCCTATTGTAAATAAAAAATAAATAAAACAAAATTTAAAAGTATTAAGGTTTCAGCAAATTAGAATGAAAGAATTCTGAAAAAAATGATCATGTTTCCCCACAAAAATATTAGGCTGCACAACTGTTTTCAACACTGAAAATAATTGAGCACCAAATCAGCATATTAGAAAAAAAAATTATAATAAAAATAAAGAAATAAATAAAAAAGTATCATGGTTTCAGCATATTAGAATGAAAGAATTCTGAGGGAAAAAAGTATATATATATATGTATATATATATATATGTATATATGTATATATATACTGTATGTGCAAAGACAAGTCTGTAATCATGAAAAGGTGTAATTTTGTAATGAGCTTCCTTAATGAGTGCTGACTAGGTGTTAAAGAGAAAAACACTCTGCAAATGATTCATTAACAATTTAGAGAGCAGTCGCTCCCATCTTTGTGTCAGCTCAAACACAACACGAGATCGCCATTACTGCCAGTATTGCATTACGGTGGAAACTGAATACATTGAATACATTTTAAAAAAGAGTCCATTATATTTGAAGTGAGTAATCCATTTTGATTACTGCCAGTGCACAGGTTTAAACATCACTCGCTAAAGCTGTTTTGTGTAGGAAAATGTGCATCTTCCTGTTTCTAGAAGTTTCTATTAAATTCCCAACTTCAGCCTTTCACAAATTGTTGGAAAATGCTTTATCTGATGTGAGAAGATTGTTTGGGGGAAATGCGGGTGAAATGCATCAGTAGTAATGTGTAGAAAGATGATCTTCGCTCTGAGGTATGTGGACAGTGATATATTTATGATGACACCTTGACCTCAAGCTCATTTCAACTCATAACGCATCTAAGATTGGGTTTTACTGCCTACGGAGTGTAAAATTAAGCCCTGCTTCAGGGGTCTAGATCTATCCATCTATACATCCATCCATCCATCCATATATCTATCTATAGTATCATCTATCAATTCATATCTAAATGTTAAATATGTATATATTATCCAAAGTAATTATGGGAAAATATATAATATAGAAAATCTATGAAAGTGTCAGCCATTTATATATTCATATTTTATGTTTCTAATAAATATGTATTATTATATTATACAATTATATGTATTATTATATGTAATATAATATGAAGCATTTTATAAATTATTAAATATAAAATATTTTTAATTAAATATAACTTGTATAAAGTAAATATGGAAAAATGTATGTGCATATGGCGTAAACCAAACATAAATGTATCTTTATATGTATATATAATGAATACATTTAATTTTCATTATGTATATATATATATATATATATATATATATATATATATATATATTTTGTTACGGG